GATGGCTCCTCCACCCAGCCTGCATTTCTCCACGTTTTCCTAGCACTGACTTCTCTTTTATAAAATTTATCCACATTTTCCTAGCACTGACTCCTTCACTTTTTAAAGAACTTGGGTCTCAAAGACTTCTCCCTTCTTCATATTTTGTAACTTTGCCCACCCCTCATTATATAACCATAAATACCCTATTGGAAAATTGTTCTCTTTTCGGCATATCGTCTGTGATTCTCATGTAGCGTCTCATTTATTTATTATTTATCTCTGCAAGTATCAACTCTTTCCTGAGAGCAGAAGTCTTGTTAATCTTTTTACGTGTATGATTAGTGGTTAGAATAATTCTAACCCCCCAATATTTTGTTATTTCTAGAGAAAAGATTGCACAATTAGTTATATTCCCATTTAATTTTATACAAATTGTTCTGTTACTCTGGTTACAATTTTCAGAGTGTCAATCTTCTTCATTTCATTTCTTTTTCGACAACTTCCAGTTTTCCTAGATTTATACTTCATACATTCCATGTTCCAATTCTTATGAATGATGTTTGCAGATATCCTCGTTTTGAGTCTCACCTTCATTGGGTGAAACTTTTATTTCATCTATGTCATTAAGGTACACCCTACTTTGAGGTGGTTGTTGTTGTAAGTGCTTTTGAGTCGCAGACAACTCATAGTGACCCTATCAAGGAGAGTCCTCAACGCTTGGGTGTCTTTCATCCTCTCTCCAGGTCCATAGGGTTTCCAGAGGCATATGATTATGGAAGTGGATGCCACTTGTGCTTCCAAGCTTGTTTAAATCAGGGAGCTCCACCCCACTCTGTCCACATTGGGTTAGGGTTAGGGTTAGGGTTAGGGTTAGGCATTAGCGCATTTGACATGTCAGTGTCACAGTCTTCAGCCTCACAGCAACCACAAGTTACCGCTGTATGGCAACTTGTACACCAGGACTATCCTACTTTGAGGAGGCATTTAAAATTAAGTATATTTTACACATAAATTCTCTGTGTATTTGCATATACATATCTACTGACATTTTAAAGATCTCTGAGTGAATGATAAAAATATTAAAATATAGCTTTATTTTGTTTGTATAAAGAATATAGACTGGAGGAGTCTGGTGGCCTAGTGGCAAGAAGCTGTCCTGCAATACTGAAGGCATTCAGTTCGAGGCCACCAGTTGCTCCATGGGAAAAGAATGGTCATTCTCCTCCCATGTGATTAGTTGCCTCTGAAAACCTGCTAGAGGGTCAGCTGTGGGTCAGTTCCAACTCTATGATAAACAACAACAATAACAATAACAAAGCAGAATGGTGTAATAAAGTAATGAGGATGGCTACTTAGTAATTATAAAGAAGCCAAAGGGTCATTAATATCTATTCATTCACATTAATAGACTCTGAATATATAAAAGTACAAGTAAAAATACTGAGAATTCATAGAATCATCTGTTGGGTTTAATGCCAAATTTGATATATTTAATTAGAGAATACACATTCTTTTTGTAAAATGTTCATGGAGATAATGTATTGAAAAAGAAACTTTATACTAATTCAGCTTGGAGTCTCATGTGTGAAGCGATTAGATTCTAGATCATAGTTTCTCATGTTTTGGTGAGGGTCAGCTGTGAAATGTTTGGCTGTTTTTGTTTTGTTTTGTTTTTCATTTACCGTAGGGTGTCACACTCTATCAGATCACCTTTCTTTGGAATGGAAACGAATATAGATACCTTCCAGTCAGTTGGCCAAGTGGTTTTCCTCTAGATTTCTTGACACAACTTGGTGAGCACATCTAGGGCAGCATCTGTTAGTTGAAATATGTCAGTTGGTATACCATCAATTCATGGGACCTTATTTTTTGCCACTTATTACAAAGCAGCTTGAACTTCCTTCATAACGATAGGTTCATGCTCATAGGTTGTTTCATGAAATTCTTCTGTGTCTGCTGATTCCTTTTGGTACAGTGACTCTGTATGCTCTTTCCATCTTCTTTTAATACTTCCTGGATCATTTAATATTTTGCCCAAAGCATCCTGAAGTATTGCAACTCGAGTTTTGAATTTGTTCTTCAGTTCCTTGAGCTTAAGAAATGATGAGCGAGTCCTTTTGATTTTCTGACTCCAGCTCCTTTCACATTTCTTTCTAATACTTTGTCTTCCCATGCTGCCTTTTGAAATCTTCTATTCAACTCCTTAATATCTTGATTTTTCCCTTTGCTCTGGCTTCTGGGCACTCTAGTACAATAGTCTCTTCTGACATCCATTTTGGTCTTTTCATCCTCCTCTGTCTTTGTAATGACTTTTTACCCTCTTCTTGGATGATACTCTTGATATCCTTCCACAACTCATCTGGTCTTCACTCATTAGTGTTTAAGGCCTGAACACTGAAATTCAGGTGGGATGGACTCAAGGACCTCCCCAAAGTACTAAAGAGCAACAGTGTCATTCTGGAGAATAAGGTGTACCTGATACAGGCCATGGTCTTTGCAGTCACTTGCTATGTGTCAGAGAGCTGGACAGTGACTAGGGAGGACAGAAGGAGAATTGATGCCTTTGAGCTGTGGTGGTAGAGAAGACTACTAAATGAAGGGAAGTGTGATACCCAATGTATACAAATTTTGTATACAAACCAATGTAAAAGAAAAACTTTTAAAAAATCAAAACAAAACAGATTTATCTTGGAAAAAAGTGCATGCAGAATGCTCCCTGGAGGCAAAGATGGAAAAGTTTTGGCATGCTGGTAGGAGAAGTGGTTTCTTGGAAGGAAATATGCTTAGAAAGGTGGAAGGCCAGCAAGAGAAGACAGCTTTTAACAAGTAGACACAGTAACTACATAATTGGGCTCAAGTATGTCAGACATGATGAGAATGGCACAGAATAAGACAGGTCTGTTGTTCACAAGATCACTATGAGCTGTATTCTAATCAAAGGCACCTAACAACAACAGTTAGTTTAAGAAGACTTCAGGGAATATTTTTGGATTAACTTTTTAAGACTACCTTAAATCAGTAGTTTCACAGATTGTTCTATTCTCCATGGCTCCAGAAAATCTGGAGTCCATGAGAACTTAAAAATTCTGTTCTGCTGACCGCCCCGCCCCCCTTTTGTTCAGGATTCTGTGTTAACTTTGATCAAAATGTTCAGTAATGATAACAGAACACCATAAAGGTCTTCTGCAGTCAGTTGTTCATGGAGAAGTTAGCTCCTGTAACTGATCCATTTCTAACTGAACAGACCTGTTTTTGAAAATAATATCCTTTGAATCAGTAGGTAAAATTTACATTGAAAGTTTCCCCCTTCCCCTCCCCTTCAAAAGGAGAAATTGGCAAATTAAATCAATATCAATGCATTGCTGTGATTAAACCTATCTTAAGATGATGGCCGGTGTGATGGTCTTTCAAGCAAGTTAAGATAATGACAGAGAAACATCACTTCAGATTTTACAGCTCTTTAGTATATTGCTAAGAGGACACAGGAAGTACAGGTGAGTCTACCCAGCCAAGCCCTAGCTCTCCAGCCAGAAAAAAGACAAGAATCCCTCTGCAGTAGTGAGCTGCTCCAGCACCCTGTATCTACAAGACCACAGAAAACCACACAGTAGTCTTTTTTACCTTATACTGGCTCTGTGGGAAAAATTTCATGAGTTTTCAAGATGACGTTGTTGTTAGGCCCCATCAAGTCAGCTACAACACCTAGCAACTCTTTTGAACAACAGATCTGAACCTTGTCTTGTCACAGTCTCTGATATACTTAAGCTCGTTGTTACAGACATTGTGGCAATCTTCCTTGTTGAGGGCCTTTTTCTCTGATCCTCCTCCTTTTCCAGAATGTTGTCCCTTTCCAAGGGCTGGCCCTTCCCGACAACATTCCCAGAGTATTTCAAGATATAAGTTAGTATTTTTTTGGTGTTATTACCAGTGCAAAACATTTTTAAGCATTTTATAAGACTAGAGAAACATGACTGACATAGGATTTAACCTGTAGCTGCAGCTGGCCCAATACTTCGCCTCAAGATAAGGCCTTGGGGACAATTCACCTCCTGCTTCCGGGAGCAGCTGACTGCATCCTTAGACACCACTTGTTAGTTGTTGTTATGTACCATGACCCATAGCGGACCTTCCAGTAGGTTTTTAGAGTAAATCACACAATACTCTTTCTCCCACGAAGTAGCTGGTAGATTCCAACCACATACTTTGGGGTTGACAGCACACCTCCTTCCTACTAAGCCACCAGCATTCCCTCAGTCACCACTTGGTTTCAAAGACAGAAAATTGTCATCACTCAGAACTGCAGCTACCTAGTCACCTTGCTGCAGCTTGACTTCCAGTTGCAGCAGCTGCATCATACCTCTCAGCAGAGGGAGGGAGGGGACTAAAATGACTATTATTTACCTGTATGTATTCTTACATTTTGTGTCTTTTGAAGTATTAAAGAGTATTATTCAATCATTTATGCTCCTATGCAGAAAATTTAATATCCTTTCAAATTTAATTATCATAAGCTTGATGTTTCTGAAAAATAAGTATCATTCTGAACCATATTTGTGAATTCAGAAGCGTTTTAATCAATGTGTTATATATTATCCCATTAGGAAATAAACTTTTTCAATATTCTGTGAGAACATTTTAGCCATTTTAAAGAAGCCAAAATGTTAAAAATTAATATGGTCATATTATGAATTTATTATTTCTGTAGTGCAGCATTTATACTTTAAGAATAAAATCAGTGCATTTTTTTTTTCTTTATGCCAAGAGAAAGAATATTTCTGGTGTGGTAGATCTGCTTTGGAGGTAAATCAGCACTTGGCTAATGTAGCCATTGTTATCAGTCACCTTCAGACACATGCTAGAAACTTCACATGACATTTGTAATGTTTTGTGTTATCTGATGTTTCTGGAGATATTTAAAAATGGGGAAGGAGGAATAAAATCATAGCTAAGATTTTTGTCTTGTTTTACAAATAATCAACAAACAACTGACAGTAATAAAACTTTTTTTTTCTCTTTAGAGCCAAGGAATATGAAAGTTTAATGGAAGCAAAAAATTCTGGCTCTGACTCACCTTATAAAGCAAAGTGAGTACTCCTTCACGTTTTAGTTTTTTTGGTTTTTTTTCCAACTGCTACAAAATGAACCATCGTTTGTACTGATGATCAAGAGTGTTGTAACTGATGCCTCTCGGAATATCATCCTTTTAACATAATTTTGGGGTAAGGTGCTACTTAAGTCTAGTGTTTATACAGTAATGCTTGTACGTATCCAAAAATGCACAGGGCAGCCTCCCATGACAAGGATCTGATTTGAAATGTCCATAGAGTGCTGAGATTGCAAAACTTCCCACCCCCGCCCATAATTGTAATCAAGTTCTGGCAAGGGTGTGCATTTTCTGGTACTTGATCTGAGGAGATCTCTTTATTGATTGATCTTCATGCCACAAGAGATTAGGATCTCAGGTTCACCGTTGAGGTATTAGTGCAATTGCACAATAGCTTAGTAAGTTAAAAGATCTTCCTTGTCCTTTTCTCAAAAGTATTCTGAGTAAAGGTGCATTGAGAAAGCTATCCACATCCACTGCGGATGGGAGTGGAGCTTGGTGCAGTCTTATTTATAGAAAATGTGGATGAGGTTCACAGCAGACTTCAAATTGTTCAAGAAAATAATGCAAAATGTGTTCAAATACTTATACATGAAGATAGCACTCTTTCTGTTTGCTTTAAAAGTGAGAAAAAGTAATAATTTATACTAAACTAAAGAATATATATAATTAATTCTTGGTATGAGAAACAATGTATTTCCTAAAGATAAAGAAAGATGATCAGAGTGCGGAAATTATCAAACAGTATCATTGATATCACATGCAAGCAAGATTCTGCTGAAGATTATCCAAAAACTATTGAAACAGCACATCAACAGAGAACTGCCTTAAGTGCAGGCTGGATTTAAAAGAGGCTGTGGCACTAGGGATATTCTACCTAATGTCATATGGATCTTGGCTGAAAGCAGAGAGTACCAGAGGAATGTCTGTCTGTGTTTCATTGACTATGTAAAGGCATTTTACTATGTGGATCACAACAAACTAACTCTGAGAGGAATGGGAATCTCAGAATACTTGATTGTGCTTAGGCAATATTTATTTTGGACCAGGAAATACTCCTTGGACTAGGAGGTAATCGTCAGAACAGAGCAAGGAAGCACTGCATGATTCAAAATTGGGAAGGGTATACACAAGGGATGTGTCCTATCTCCATACTTTTTCAAACTATATGTAGAACAGATTATCTAGGAGACTGGGCTCTATAAGGAGAAATGTGGCATCAAAATTGGAAGAAGACTCATCAACAACCTGCATTATGCAGATGACACAACCCTGCTTGCTGAAAATGAGGAGGACCTGAAGTGCTTCCAGCAGAAGGTCAAGAACTGCCACCTTCAATAAGGATTGAAGCTCAACATTAAGAAAACAAAGATTTTCACCCCTGGGCCTATCAGTAGCATCATGATAGTTGGTGACGAGATTGAGATTGTTGACAGCTTCAGTTTGTTAGTCCTCACAATCAACACTCTTGGTACCAGCAGCCAAGAAATTAAAAGATGAGTTGCATT